GCGAAGCGGGGCTTCAAAGGGAAGGATCTATGTAAGCTGAAGCAGATTGAAATGTAAGTGTCAAGTACTGCACATGATGATAATCGACTAATGACGACAGCCCAGAGATGATGGGCGCGGTGTGTGCTATGGTGTACCTTTTCATCTTGATCTTTTTCATACCATGGCCGTTTTACAAGGACATTGTAGTCGCAACATCAGGCGGCGGTAACCGGGACACGATCAAGGAACTGGAGCTGATCGAGACCGGGAGGCTACTACACAGATTTCCTCACAACAAGCTTGCGTCCTATCTGTCCGCCATACTTTCTCTCCAGTCGATCGTACTGCTCGGTATTGGTGACGACCTATTCGACATAAGATGGCGACACAAGGTGCTCATTCCAGCCTTTGCAGTTATTCCCATGCTCGTGGTCTACTTTGTCGACTTTGGTGTCACGCAGATGGTCGTCCCACTACCACTCAGGCCTTACCTTGGCGAGCTCTTTGACCTGGGTATGTACTTGCATTGAGAGCTGTTTCTGAATTGCCCATTAACGTACGTTCAGGCTGGCTTTACTACGTCTACATGGCGCTGATGTCCATCTTCTCCTCGAATAGCATTAACATCTTGGCGGGCATCAACGGCATCGAGGTGGCCCAGTCTATAGTCATTGCAGTCCTGATTGTCGGCAATGATATGCTGTATCTCTCACCATTTACGACGTACCCACATCCAGCGACGGATTCGCATCTGTTTTCGCTGTATCTGCTGCTACCGTTTATCGGTGTCTCGATGGCCTTACTGATGCACAACTGGTATCCAGCAAAGGTGTTTGTGGGCGACACTTACTGTTACTTTGCAGGCATGGTCTTCGCCGTAGTAGCCATCCTCGGTCACTTCAGCAAAACGCTCATGTTGCTACTCCTACCGCAAGCGTTCAACTTTGTCTACTCGGCACCCCAACTGTTCCACATCGTACCATGTCCCCGACATCGGCTTCCGCACTTCAACGCACGGACAGGTTTACTGGAGCCCTCGCGCGTCGAATTCACCAAACCACTACGACGACCGATAGCGGAGAGCCTCAAGGTGCTGCACCGGCTTCGGATGCTCGATGTTGAGACGGATGGGAAAGGGCAGGTGGTCTCGTCGAGCAACTTTACACTAATCAACTTGTGGTTAGTATGGTTCGGTCCCATGCGGGAGGACCGCTTAGCTATGGGTTTGCTCGCGTTCCAGTTCGCGATTGGACTTGTAGGACTATTCGTGCGGCATCGTATGGCATTGCTTATCTTTACAGCGGACAACTTGTAGATGTGTGGGTAGGCATATAGACCGGTGGGTGTACTATAGTATCGTGGAACATGTAGATTACTGGGAGGATGGCTGGAGCGCATATGCTACAAGGGACCTGCCGGGAGTTTCGGCGTATTGTATTCACCCCGCGTTGATAGAAGCGATACTGGGTGGGAATAGCGATACAGTCGAAGGATCGCGGTCGGACGAGGTAGCTCGCTTGCTTATCAACGGCTATTGTTTTCTTCTTCAAACACAGCAAATTGCTTCTGCACTTGAGCTACTGTCATGTCCATTCCAGCCTCACGGAGCGTGGGTGAACATGTGGGCTGGCCAGGGCCTCGTCAGCTGTCGTCGCAACATGCTCGTCCAGTGTCAAATCGGAACGTTGGTAGACTTGCTGACGCTGCAGACGGCGGCCGGGAGGCGGTGCAGTGGGGCAGGCGCAGTGCGGGGCAGGAGCGACAGCGACCTCTCGACACGTGAATGTCGTCATTGGTTGCGGAAACAGTACCTAGAGGAGCGCTCGCAGCGCCAGAGGCGATGCGCGACAAGGTTGCCTGCATGTTATATCGCTCAAGAGCGCTATCACCGCCTGGCACCTACCAGATGTGAAGTATCGCAGCCCGACAGCGGTGGAGGCCGAGGCGGACCGTCATCATTCGCGGCGTGATTGGCGGCTGTGCCCCTCTTACCATCGACTCCGAACATCGGCCGGCATCTTTTTGTGCCTCGTTCGCCTTCCATGGATTTGAGTTCCACACGCGCCTCATTTAAGCCGATACCTGCCCTGGCCGAGCACGTCTCACTTTCTTGATCTCCAACTCTATTTTCCTGCACCTACTTTGGACTTGTTGTGCAACTTCTACCTCACATATCCAATATGCCGTCTGCTGTGAAACCGCCGCAGACCCTGTACGACAAGGTCTTCGAGGACCACATCGTCGAAGAGAAGGAAGATGGCACAATTCTGCTATATATTGGTATGACATGCGCTGTGTAGCCATTATTTCTTACTGACAGCTGCACAGACAGGCATCTTGTCCATGAAGTGACATCACCAGTAGGCAGACCTCCGAATCCGTCCTGCCTTTCCACAGACTCACACAACTACAGCAAGCTTTTGAAGGCCTCCGAAATGCCGGCCGCCGAGTGCGAAGACCGGACTGCACCCTCGCGACAGTCGACCACGTATGTGTTGCATCTTGCAGAATCCAGCAGCAGCTAACGGTAGCAGAACATCCCCACCGCGTCGCGGAAAAACCTCACTACGACCGAGAAATTCATCGAAGAGACCGACTCGCGGTTACAATGCATGACCCTCGAGGAGAACGTCAAGGCCTTCGACCTCACTTACTTCGGCCTCGACGACAAGAGGCAGGGTATTGTGCACATCATCGGACCCGAACAGGGCTTCACGCTCCCCGGTACCACCGTCGTATGCGGTGACAGCCACACATCCACACATGGCGCTTTCGGTGCCCTGGCCTTTGGTATCGGTACCAGCGAGGTCGAACACGTTCTGGCCACACAGACCATCATCACACAACGGAGCAAGAACATGAAAGTCCAGGTTGAGGGCGAGCTAGGACCTGGCGTTGGCAGCAAGGACATCATCCTGCACGTCATCGGCAAGATTGGCACGGCCGGAGGAACAGGTGCCGTCATTGAATTCTGCGGCTCGGCTATCCGCGGCTTGAGCATGGAGGCGCGCATGTCGATATGCAACATGTCAATCGAGGGCGGCGCAAGAGCCGGTATGATCGCGCCTGATCAAATTACCATCGACTATCTCAAGGGAAAGCCTCTAGCACCCAAGGTTGACAGCCCGGAGTGGAAGAAGGCATGCAGTTACTGGCTGGGTCTCAAGTCAGATGAGGGCGCCAAATACGACATTGAGGTTCTGATCGACGCAAAGGACATTGCCCCGACTGTCTCCTGGGGGACTTCACCTCAGGATGTCATCCCGATTACCGGTGTAGTACCTGGACCTGACGACTTCCAAGACGAGGTCAAGAAGCTGGCATGCGAACGCGCTCTGAAGTACATGGGTCTGACTGCCGGCACCCCAATGCAGGAGATCCCACTTGACAAGATTTTCATCGGATCTTGCACAAACGCCCGCATTGAGGACCTGCGCTCAGCTGCTCAAATCGTTGAGGGCAAGAAGGTGGCTTCCAACATTAAGCGGGCCATGATTGTGCCCGGTTCTGGCCTGGTCAAGAAGCAGGCTGAGGCAGAAGGTCTTGACAAGATCTTCAGTGATGCCGGATTTGAGTGGAGAGAAGCTGGATGCTCGATGTGCTTGGGCATGAACCCCGACATTCTTTCTCCCGGTGAGCGATGTGCTTCGACCTCGAACAGAAACTTCGAGGGCCGACAAGGTGCTGGTGGCCGAACCCATCTCATGTCACCCGCGATGGCTGCTGCCGCTGCCATTGTAGGAAACCTGGCGGATGTACGGAAACTTGCGCCACAAACGTCTGGACAAGCCAAGGGCTCACCGAAGATTGAGTTGGACGCGCAAGTCGAGCCTCCTAGCAGCGACGAAGAGCTTGAAAAGATCATGGATCTTCCTAGCTCCGGACCTCAACACACTAGCTCAAATACTGGAAGTACAGGCGGTGCCTCAGCCGGCATGCCTAAGTTCGAGACCCTCCGCGGAATCGCAGCACCTATGGACGTAGCGAACATTGATACCGATGCTATCATCCCCAAGCAGTTCCTCAAGACCATCAAGCGCTCTGGTCTTGGTAGTGCTCTCTTCCACGCATGGCGCTTCGAGGCCGGTAGTAACAAAGAGGACCCATCTTTCGTACTGAACAAGGAACCTTACCGCAACTCAAAGATCCTAGTCTGCACTGGTCCCAACTTTGGCTGCGGCTCAAGTCGTGAACACGCACCCTGGGCGCTCCTCGACTTCGGCATCAAGTGTATCATCGCCCCCTCCTTTGGCGATATCTTCTTCAACAACACGTTCAAGAACGGTATGCTCCCCATCCGAATTACCGACACCACTGTCCTACAACGCGTCGCCGACGAGGCGAACGCTGGCAAGGAGATTGAGGTCGACCTCCCCAACCAAGTCATCCGCTCTGCCGACGGAACCGAACTTGCCAAGTTTGACGTCGAGGAGTTCAGGAAACACTGTCTTGTCAACGGACTGGATGATATTGGTCTGACCATGGCCAACGTTGACAAGATTGAGAAGCACGAGCAGAAGCGCACAGCTGTCTGGCCTTGGCTGGATGGAAGTGGCTTCCTGAAGAGACATGGACGCGGACCAGTCAAGGTACAGGCTCAACCTGTGCCAAAGACCAATCGAGGAGAGGAGATCACCGAACCACTGGAGTGGTAGAAGGTATATTACGAGGGTAAAAGTCGGACTTTAGTCAATCTCTTTGGAGTTTTGTATAATCTGGCGAGCGGCTGCTCTGCGGACTTTGGATTAGGGTGTTTATGTTGGGACCAAGATATCATGTGAAATGAAATGCCATATATGAATGATCTAGTTTTCGCACCTGACTGCACTGCGCCTGAGCAATGCTTTGATTTGTTCTTTTGCTCGAGTTGGTATGCGCGAAACCAGCTTTTGAGGTATATCGCACTTCGCAGACCATGCATAACGCATCAACGCCAGAACACCCAAGACCCCAAGATAGAGTTCCGTCTCGTATCGATACAAATCTCCCTTTGAACAAGGCGCATGAGACATTGTGTCTTACCGCCCCTGCTGCCCAGCCAGTCCCGGTCCGTCTCTCGTCCAGCCACTCTTTCGCATGCCCTCTTCAATCCTGCCCCAGATCCTCTCCACAACCTCTCTGTCCCTCCATCTGCCCTTTTCACTGCCTGTCCATTTATCCACACCCACGGGTAGCACACCCCTGCCCAATTGCTTCACCGTCTCTGGCGGCTCTTCAGAACTCCAGCCGACGAATATGCCCGGGTAGTTTGCAAACAACTCTGCGGGCTGTGTGTATTTGTAGCTCTTGAACTGCCAGAGCTGGCCAGTAGTAAAGATGGCGACCACACGGCCCCAGTATGTGGGCTTGAAACTGGCGGTGGAATCGACGCAGATGAAAGTCAGGGGTTGTGAGGAGATGGACGGGAGGAGACGTTGGATTTGTATCATGTTCGCGGAGGCGGATGTGCTGGACGAGTCTGTGGTGTTTGGTGGGACAAAGACACCGTCGCTGAGGAATGTCTTTGCGTTCGAGGTGCGCAGGAGGGAGGAGGCGGATGGGGAGAGGAGGATGATGGGTTGTAGACGGCGTTGAGGTCGTTTCTGGAGATTGGCAACAAGGGCGGGCTGGGGTGCGGGTAGCTTGTTGGCATCGGGGCGTGAGCGGAGGAATGTGCTGGCGATCTTGCGGTAAGGCGAGAAGTCCTGCAAAGTGTCAGTCTGTGGCAGTAAGAGGATCAGAGAGCTGGTTGACACGTACGACGTTCTTGGAGCCCCTCAACACGCTGTTGTGGTCTCCCATCTTCCTCTCTCCGTCGTAGATCTGCAGTAACCGCGCATCCACCATCTTGCCTGCTGATCCTACTTTGGCACCCCTTCCTCCATCGACGGGGACGCCCTTGCCGCCTGCAATAGCCGCCGCATCGCCGGCGGCAGCACTGAGCGCGCCCCCATCTATAGCAGCGATGCTATCACTGCTCTCCGTCTCTCCACTCAACCAAGCGATGAGCTCAATCTTCTGCGCAAAGGTGAGATTCTGCACGCTGCCTCCCGCGCCGCTCGGCAGCTCCTCGTTGAGCGTCTGGACAGCGGCGAAGTAGTCGGTGACGGAGGCGTCCTTGTTCAGCCACGCGAAGTAGCAGCTGCGCAAGTCAACCGCCTTGCCGTCTGGCGCAAACCGCGTCGGCGTGCTCAGCGCAAACACTCGGTGGTCGCCCGAATCAGTATTGAAGGAGACATGTGTTGCGACGGCGAGATCCGCGACGGTATCGGCGGGTGTGGGTTCGGCGCTCGTGGTCAGGATGGGTGTTGCGCTGGCCTTGATGCTCAGGCGGAGGTTGTAGAGCGCATCTGCGACTTCGGCTTCTGCTGCGGCCATTCTGGGGCGATTGGCGCGTCGTGCGCGTGCGGGAGAGGTTGAGGACTGGGGGGTTGCGGTTCTTTGGCGTTGAAGGTGAAGCTTGATGCAGGTCGCGACTATGCGATTGTACTTTTGGGGAAGGATGCCGGGGTTTCTCCGATTGGAACGTGCCTCGGGCTTCCAACGCCTGCTTCGCCCTCGCCAACAACATCTCTCACACTCGGGCCACATTATCGCATCATTCCCTCTAATACTACTGCTTACGGATCACAAGGGGATCGATAGCGAAACTCGTGAAGACGAAGCCTTTGCTCAATTGTGAGTTGGAGCAGACGCATGCGGACAATGACTTGCACGCGCAAATAAAGCCCACTCTAAAGACGACGTTGATGTTGGCCCAGACCCTCTGTAAGTGATGAGAACTGCTTTTACCTCCAGGGTAAGGCATGTTCTGCATTACAATCAATACGAACTGAACGTCTCCATTACGCAACCTTGAGGGCATGCTTGAGAAGCAACATTGCATTAGGACGGAAAGATGAAAGTAATTTGTACTCATCATTACAGGATATTTACGTGTATGCAATAGAATCCGCTATCGCCGTCATCTATCATCCGCCGCCCATAAATTCATCACTTCCCTAACCCCTTCACCGAAGATTCCCGAGTTTCTACTGCACCAACACGCCGAAGTGACATTGACACCGACACATAATCGGGCAACCTTTCGTTAATGCACAAGGCAGCGCGAGTTGGATTCCCAGAAACTCATCGCCGTTCCCGAGCCTCCACTGCAGTAAGGTGCGCCGTGACGGTGACCGCCAGCCATCTCAGAACCCGAAGTCGCTGGAGTGACATCGTGCCGACACATGTTCGGGTGACCTTCCATTAAGGCACAAGGCCATGCTGCTCACGTCTGAGGGGCCGTTGGTCGGACGGGCGACTGCAGCTAGGGCTGATGGAACTCGGTGAGTACATGAAGAAGATGAGAACTTGATCTGCATGTTGTCAGTGAGGTACATTGGAGCGAAGGGAAGCTAACTTACATTTTGCTGCTAGCTACGGGCGAAGTTCGAGTGAGTGCAGGTGATGACCGTGAATGTCGAAAGTGATGTCGACGGAGATAAGGAAGTGATGTCGACCAAAATGTGGTGGATATCCGCAGGCGATATTTGCAGGTAGAAAGCTGCTGTTATTGAGATCTTGTTGATTGAGTGGCGATGTCGGCGAAAGACGACGATGGTGATCTGTTGCTCGCTGGTTTGGAAGTTGTCGTAGTGCTCGCTCGCGGTTGATGAGAGCTGGACTCACTTCGAAACGTTAGCAACACAAAACGGGGGAAGGAGCTGATATACTTGTAGCTGCTGACGCTGCGATTGCAATATCATCCCGGGGTGAGCAAGGGGAGTACCGCTTAAGCTTGCGCAGCAGTAGCGACGTGAGGGCTAGGTGCGGTCATGGTGTTGAGGGATCTTGACAAAACAAAAGTGTTTCTGAACTCGAGGAATTGGAGAGCGTGTGATAGAAGTGATGGGGACTAGGCGGGCAGCGTTGTTTACATAGCCAACTCAGCAGCGCTCGCTTTGCTGTCACATGTCATCCAGAATAGACCCTGATTGCCCAGGTGTCGTAAACCGCGCACGCGAAAAGTGGGGCTTACGGTAGTGCTCGCAATTCCCAGACAGGTCTTCATAGTAAATAGGTGAGTTCGGGTCTTCGTCTGGCCTGCCGACGACAGCCGCTGGGACCTCGTAGGAAGGGTTGCCTAACACTAGCGTTCGAGCTCAAATTAGATTGCGTCATAACTTCGTCTTCTTGGTGTGGTGAAGGTGAAGGCGAAGGTGAAGGTGAGGGTCGATAAGGCACTTGTGCTTGCATACTAATGTACGACTACCTATCCATACATTTGCTGACTGTATACACTGTAACAAGAAACTTACTCTTATAGCTGTAGAGAACCGCGACAATCCACTAAACTCTGCATGACGGATGTGTAGTGAAAGACTGAAGCCCATGTCTACGCCAGAGTGCAGCACACTCATCGAGCAAAAGGTTGCTGAGTCACTTTTGGGGTACAAGTCATACGATCAGTATGAAAATATATGCGGTGTTCAAAGGCAAATGTCAGAGGTGAAAGTTATACATTATCATAACTATATCATTAAAGTAAAGGTAGATGCTAATCTCTTCTTTTGGAGTAGCTATCTACTGTCCAACAACGGTGAAGCTGTCCTGGACCTTCAGGTCTCGGCTGCTCAGTCCGACCCAGATCGTGAACTCGCCCTCGGGAATGACCCACTGCTGGCTGACAATGTCCCAGTAGCTCAGATCCCTGCGCTGAAGCTCGAAGCTGACGGTCTCCTTGTCGCCCTTCTCAAGGTATACCTTCTCGAAGCCACGGAGCTGGCGGATAGGTGTACCGGCTGGGGCGGAAGAGGGAAGGCCGACGTAGAGCTGGGGAACGGTGGCACCGGCACAGTCACCGGTGTTGGCAACGGAGACAGTGACGTTGTAGAGAGACTCCCACAGAGCGGGGTTACCGCCGGGCTGGATGGGCAGCTGCTCGGGCATGGATGTGATGTTGTGCTCCAGAGGGGAAGACTCAATGTCGGAGATCTCAAATGTGGTGTATGAGAGACCGAAACCGAACTCGTAACGGACAGACATGTTCTGGAGGTCGAAGTGGCGGTAGTCAATCTCGAGCTTCTCGTCGAACCAGCTCTGCCAGTCGGCAAATCCGGTGGTGTTGATGGCGGTAGTGGGAGGCGCATTCCAGTCATCACCGTTCTCGGCAATGGTGTAAGGAAGGTGACCAGAGGGGTTTACGTGTCCGTACAGGATGTCAACGAGCGAGTTTCCAGACTCTTGGCCGGGGAAATGGGCAGCAAGGATAGCGGTAACGTTGGGGTGGTCAGCCCATGGCAAAGTGTTGACACCGGCAGAGTGGGTAACAACGACAGTGTTGTTGCAGTAAGACGCGACAGACTCGACAACATCATCACCCTCCCAGTCAGATCCCAGGTGGGCACGGTCATCGCCTTCCTCAGCCCAAGTCTTGAGCATAACAATGCAGACTTCGGGGACAGCGCGGGGAATGACAAGGGTGCTGACGTTGTTGGCGATGATGTGAGTGTTGTTGAGGAAGAACTGAGTGATACCGCCATCCGCGGCGACACGGTTCTGGATGGCACGGAGAGGGGTGACCATGTAGGTGAACTGGCCGGTACCTGAGCCACCGCCAGCGAGAATGCTACCGTATTCGTAGTTCTGCTGGTTGATGACAGAGCTGCGTGCTGGGTCGCCTGCGTCGTTACCGAAGATAGCGACGTTCTGGGGAGCCTTGAGAGGCAGAGTGCGGTCGACGTTCTTGAGGAGGACGCTGCCAGCGGCACCATGGCGGCGGATAAGCTCGCCGTGGTTGCCACGGACATCACGGCTGACTTCGCCGGTGAGATTGTACTCGCGGGACCATGTGCTACGGGGCGAGAAGGTGTTCAGATCAGCGCCTGAGGGGTCAGCCGAGGGGAAGTCCTGGTCTTGGCCGAGTTGGAAGTAAGGGGTCATGATACGCATGACCATGTCGTCGATGCGGGAAACATCAACGGTGCCGTTGTTGACAGCAGCAGTGACGTTGCCGCCAAAGTATGAAGGGAGGCCAAAGTTCAAACCGTAGGCACCAAGTCCACCGGGCATGTTCATGTCCAGACCGGCCTCGATAGAGGCAACACCAGAGTGAGTGGCACCCCAGTCAGACATGATGTAGCCCTGGAAGCCAAGCTCAGTCTTGAGCAGACCGTTCTGCGAGGCGGAGTTCTGGCATCCGTAAGAGCCGTTGATGCGCTGGTAAGAGCACATGAAGCTGGCAGCGCGGGCCTTGGCAGCATTGGCGAAAGGCCACATGTAAAGCTCGTGCATGGTGCGGTCATCGATGTTGGAAGAGAGAGCTGCCGTAGTCTGCTCGGTGTTGTCGTTCTCGTCTTCGTAGAGCGGGTTTCGCATGATCTCTTGCTCATTGCCAATCCAGTGCTTTGCGCAGGCTTGCACACCGGCATCCTGGATTCCGTTGATGGTCTCCTCCATTGCCACACCACTGAGGTAAGGGTCAGAGGAGAATCCCTCCCAGTTACGGCCTGCATAGGCGGAACGTCCGAGAGGACCAGCGACGGGACCCAAGAAGACCTGGGAGCCCTTGGCCTTGAACTCGGCGCCCATGGCATGACCACGCTCGTACATGATGTCCTTGTCCCATGTGGCTCCGGCAGAGACACCAGCGGAGAAAACGCTGGCGTAGTCTGCAACACGAATTCCAAGAGGACCATCCTGAAGACACAGACCGGGGAAACCAAGACGAGGGATAGCAACAATGTTGCCAACGCAAGGTCCGGCTTGGCCAGTGACCATGTCAGCCTTCTCCTCGAGCGTGAGCTGGGCTACGAAAGCTTTCGCCTTCTCAAGACCCATCTCCCAGCCACCAGCGCCGGTGATGTTTGCTGTAGAGCATTAGATTGGTTACGAGCGAGGTTGGTGATGTAGGATAACTTACGCGACGGGTAGACAGCTGGTGAGGAGCCATACTCGGTCAAGATGGTGGTGTTGAGCGGCTGTACGTACTCAAACGCATCTTCATCGCGGCCACCGCCTTCGAAGTTCTGAGCATTGACTGCTGCCAGGAGGACAGAGCCCGAAAGTACGGCCGAGACAAGGGAAGGTGCCATGATTCTGGATTGTCGAGGGTGAATCGAGTGCCCGGATGACCATCATCGTTGTGCACAGCAGCACTTATATACTGCTCTTCTCTCGGCGCATACTCGTCCGCCCGGTGGCAGTCCTCGTCCCGATCAAAAGGCTAGAAGCCGATGTGGCAGCCACCACCATGTCCCGAAGTTTGCCCGTGCGGGTTGCGGAGTCTCCACACCTCCGTACCATACCAGTGTTGTCCTGGTATTAAGGCGCACGACGTCATCTCAAGGCTGCGTAGCGGTTGCCAAGCGGGCGGTCGGACGTGTGCATGCGCGTCGGCAGATGGTTGTGGAGTAGAAAACGAAGAGGTCGGAGCCGGGAACATTGACTCGCGATGATTTGCGGGGATCGTGAGGTTGGCTCATGACTCGCGACTGAGAGTCGCCTTGCATTGCTGCTGCAGTCGAACTGGCAGGGTTAGCTTCCTGGGGACGAATCCTGGATGATGCTGCTACTGTGTACATCCACGTGCCGTGAACCACAGCTTTGGTACTGGCAGTTTGATCGAAGAACGTTCCACGAAACAATCTCCGCAGAATACCGGTACACCTTCCATCACGACTCGCGCATATGGGGAAGTGCGCGAAATACGACAGTACACGACTAAGCTCCACGCCTCCAAGCTTGTCTGTTTATCCTAAAGCGGGGCGAGATCTTGGGTATTGTGTCTTGCCGACGAAAAGTCCCGAGAGGCATCGGTAGGCATCGTCACGAGGCTCATGGGTAACAGAAATTTTCGGTGCATGGAGCAAGCGTCGGACCCAGTGGAGGTATTCGGTAGGCGCTAAGCCAGCAGAAGGAATGCACCCTTGGGAACCCCAGCATCGTGACATGGCGATCGCTCCGGAGCTCCACAAGTCACTTCCCCGCAAACGTCCTGGGCCGAAGTTGAGCCTCAAGTCGGGCTTAGATCGTCAGGTCGAGTTGTTGACATGATAAAAAACCTCGCATCGCGGTTGCCGAGAGCCGTTCATAGGTGCGGATGCTGCATCGAAATTGCCCAGGTCTACGGGTGTGTCCATGTAGGGTGCACTACATACGTAACAGTGCAGGAGTTGATGACCCAGCGGGAGGCTCTGGGCCTAGAATACGAAGTACAGACTGGTTGAGTGTGTATGAAGCTGGGCTCCGAGTACCAGGATGAGAACGTGACTTGGATTCGTAAGTATGCGCAGATGGATAACCGGGCATCCATACAGGGAATGTCCTTCCCCCTGTGCAAGCCCTTCAGCAGCGACACGAACTGATCAGGGCTTGCACTCATGACTTCTCGGTGATTTACGAGATTTGACATTCGATAGCTTTGTACCTGACAGTTGCTGGTACCCAGGTTCTGTTCTCGAGCTGTGCTCAGTCAAGAGTGTCTCCACTTAGCAGAAAGTAGCAAAGGTTAACCTTGTACAAGGCCGTAGTGTAGCTGCGACATCACTATGGAAGGACAGGGGACCTCTGGCTTTCACGAATGTTTGTTCGACTTTGCCTTGCATCTGCATGTCTTTCGTCCCTGACGGCATGCTTCTCTTCCACCCAGGTACAGGGTAGACTTCGGATTTCCAAACAGGTCGATCAACTACAACGATCGGAACAATACCTTCTCAATGTGTCTGGGTCAAAAACAGCTATACGGGAAACTGGAGTAGAGAACGGAAAGGAGTTGTCTCATACTCAGTTCGTTACGCGAAAGTCGCTGCTATCGTCGTCTGGATTGATGATGTGTGATGGGCGAGACGTCTCGACTAATCTGGAAGCGAAGGTGAGGGCTATATTGCTCTTGATAATGTTGGGTCTGCTCACAAAGATTCAAAGACTCAATGCCGGTTTGCGGATGGTATAGAAGCACGTCGATTGCTCCAGCCGTCTTCGGAACTGAAAGGTTGAATACATGCGCCTGAATATAGCTAGGAACAAGACTGAACGTCAAGCACTGTCGGAATTATACCGCAACACTCGCAGGAACGATCAATGTGTAATGCGTGAGAGGCGCACCAGGTCTTCATCGTGCCGGCAGACTCGTGTTCTCTGGTTGAGTGTTTGATGTCGCGCCAGGAATGACGATGGACCAGATCAAGAGCTGTGCCGTCGCGGTGCCTCGGCTAACTGCGGTCTATCAGCGATGAGGTCGCCAAACATGCCGCGCACAACGTCGACGCTCCAGCTCCAGACTTGAATATCTCTGGGCGGAAAGACTACGGAACCATCGCAGTCGCACAAAAAACATCCTAAATACGATCGAAATGCCCCTCCTCCGCCTCAACCCCCGCGTCCTACACCGCGCCGTTGGAATTCGCGGCTATGCGACTGCCCAAGCCCCGGCTATAAACGTCACAAACGTCCCAGCACCACACTGCGGAAGCATACGAATACTCTCGCTCAACCGGCCCGCGGCACGCAATGCGATATCACGGCAACTGCTCACAGAGCTGACGCAACAAGTGAGCAGCCTACACAATGAGGGGGACCAGGGATCAACGCGGGCGTTGATTTTGGCGAGCGATATAGAGACAAGTTTCTGCGCGGGCGCGGACCTCAAGGAGAGGGCTACGTTTACCCAGGAAGAGTATGTCTAGTATCATAACGGTCACATGAGACGAGCGACAGCTAACGGATGGCAGCACATCCAACTTCTTAACCACACTACGAGGAACATTCGCGTCGATATCGCAATTACCCATCCCCACAATCTCTGCTTTGGCAGCACCGGCTTTCGGCGGCGGCCTCGAGCTAGCCCTTACCACACACATGCGTGTCTTCGCGTCCACCACGACCGTCGCCCTCCCCGAGACGCGTCTTGCCATCCTTCCTGGCGCGGGAGGAACATATCGTCTGCCCGCTTTGATCGGCCTCTCGCGCGCACGAGACATGATCTTGACAGGCCGCCGTGTTGCCGCGCCAGAAGCCTACTTCCTGGGGCTGTGCGACCGGTTAGTAGAGATCACGGCAGAGGATGTGCAACAAGAAGGGGCTGCGCGGAAGAAGGTCCTGAACGAAGCGATTAGACTAGCAAGGGAGATATGTGAAGGTGGACCGATAGCGATCAAGGCCGCGCTTCAGGCGGTTGAGGGATGCGCGTTGGGCGAGAAGGCTGAGAATGCTGCATACGAGCTTGTGGTCAGGACAAATGATAGGGACGAGGCGCTTGTCGCGTTCAAGGAGAAGAGAAAGCCCGTGTTCAAGGGAGAATAATCGAATGTTAGTGGCGCTGGTCAAGTGCTGAGATATGCGCCTCTGGCCTGAGTCAACATGCTTCATTGATGCCCTGTACGAGTGCTATACACGCTGCTTCACATCTTGCTCTTGATCTCCTCCAGCAGCTTGCTCAATTCGCTCTTGTCCGCTTCCTTAGTTGGCCACTCAATCCCGAGACCCTCCTGTTGGTTCGGCTTTGGAATCAGGTGGAAGTGTACGTGATCCACGAGCTGGTGGGCAATCCTTCCATTGTTCTGTAGGATGTTGTAGTCTTGGATGTTCTGCGCGATAGCAATTCGCTTCGTGACGGAGAGGACTTCGGCGAGCTGGTCGTCGGGAATGTCGTGGAGCTTTGCGCCGTGGTATTTGGGGATGATGAGCTAGGCGGCACATTAGTCTTGGCTGGTCGATACTGGAGGAACTGGAAAGCATACAGAGTGGCCTTTGCTCAAAGGACCGATGTCAAGGAAAGCAAGTGTCTTCTCGCTCTCGAAGATCTTCATCGAAGGGATCTCGCCTGATCTTTCTGTTAGCCATTGTCGATTGAGAGGATAGCCAAGCTAAGAGGTTGTTACCCTTGATGATCTTGCAGAAGATGCATGCAGCGGAGGACATTGTGGTACTCGTGAAATGGATAGTTGGTTGGTTGGTACGGGTCTGGTCGGTGAATGAAGATGACGCAGCGAGCTTATGCTTGAGAACGAAGTGGGGTTGACCGAGGGACATGTGGGGTAGCTGTTTGGCGGGACGGTTCCGCCGTGCTTCGCATGTATATTCCAATCACGATCGTATGCTCATGAACACTACTGCACTGGTTGTAGAAGCATTCATCCTCTCAAGTATAGCTACCCCATGTTCTCGCGGGTCATGACTTTGCCCACTTCCACGATGGGCACTCAAAGTTCGCATAGCATCTGAACTCGTTGCTCAGTCCTTTGGCGTGCTTGATCTCGTAATCAGTCGTCTTGGTTCCTACTTTCCCGTACAGTTTGTCTGTGACCAGGCTTTCCATACGCTCGCCAGTGCAGACAATGAGACGCAGAGAATCTTGCGTCCATGACTTAGCTAACCATCGCACGGTCAAGGCAGCTACGACGTGTTAGCGACATCGAACCTACGGTTGTTGGAGACATATCATGAAAGTACCTTTAGTTTGACAATCTTGACTTAGAAATGGCGGGTCGCAAATGATGACATCGAACGAGGCCTTCATCTCAGCTGGTAGTTGCATCGCCTTCTCGAAGTCGTAGCGCACGAACTCCTTGAAGACGGCAAAGCGCTCGTCAAATTCCAGCAATTTAATCTGCGGCCGGCACTTGACTTCACCCGAATTCTAACAAGGTCAGTTTTTCTCGTCTTGCGCTTCCAGAGTACTCACCAGTAGATTTTTCAGCTGGATGAAAGCACTCGGAGCAGACACGACTGCTATCCTTGTCTCATCTGTCGCACCATCCAGAAGCTGTCGCGCAAGCACCATAGCGGTCTCGTCGCTATACCAAAATTGACTTGCATTCCAGTCTTCCGTGAAGGCGTCCATGGACAACTTCCCTTCAAAATCATCTTCGGCTTGGCCTTTTAGTTCCTCAAACTGCTTTTGTCGTGCATCCCGCTCGCCATAAAATTCTTTCAGCGCGGCAAGAGCATCGCCGGAGAGCTGTCTTCATTTGTTAGCATTTGGGCTGCGATCAGCTAGTAAGACTTACGGTATCTCATCGTCGTCTGCTATCGACGCCATGTTGAGTTTGGCCCAAGGCAGGTTGCCGCACAGTGTACCTGAAAAGTGATAGTTTGGTTGAGTCGTATCCCACTATCGATAACAGTGTGCCTCGGCTGTGCTGGTCCAGCTGTAACCTGAGGTCAGAGCGACCATGCGCCCGCGATTGCGATGGCCGTCAGCTACCTCTAGCACACGCGCACTATACTCAAAGATGGCAGAATCTTTGGTATCGCTTCCAGAGGTTGAGCAGATCAGCGATCGGGTTATCAGGATCCTCGGCGGCAACCCCAGCAAGGTGAGCGCCGTTATCATCTAAGGAACGGCGCGATCTGACAAAGCTTAAGTTCACGCTGCAAGGTACATGCGGTAACAATCTTACGGTTAACATGTTCTGAGTAAACTAGGCACGAACACGTACATAGTTGGTCGTGGCGCATCACGACTGCTCATTGACACTGGCGAAGGCAAACCGCAGTGGATAGCGACGATCAAGTCGCTCCTTTCAAAGGAGAACATCGCCATCGATAAAGTGCTATTGACGCACTGGCACCACGATCATATCCAAGGCGTCCCCGACCTACTCGCGCACTCTCCCGAGACGAAGATCTACAAGAACGATCCGCACGACGACTGGCTTGCGATAAGTGATGGGCAGAAGTTTGAGACGGAAGGCGCGACCCTACGTGCCTTCTTCTGCCCGGGACATACCACAGACCACACGGCTTTCGTGTTGGAGGAAGAAGATGCCATGTTCACGGCGGACAACGTATTGGGTCAGGGCACAGCCGTATTCGAAGATCTGGCAGCGTACATGAAGAGCCTCGACGCCATGTCGACGCAGTTCAGGGGTCGCGCATATCCCGGTCATGGGCCTGTCATCGAAGATGGTCCATCAAAAATCACTGAGTATATAAAACATCGCAAGCAGCGTGAGAAACAGGTGTTGGATGTACTTGCGGAGAGTCAAGGCATGGGTTCTATGGATATTGTAAAAGTAATCTACAAGGAGTATCCAGAGAACCTTTGGGAACCGGCAGAGAGGGGTATTTGCCAGATTCTCGACAAGCTGAAGCAGGAAGGCAAGGTGGGCGGTGACAAACTGTGGGTACTTAGTGGGAAGAGTAGTCTTTAGATGTTCCAATGACACATAGTTTGACATGGCTAAATTCTAATAAGCGCCCAAGTGACTTAACTGCGCCCCACCACGCCCAAGTTCATGTACGATGACCCAAATCATTCCGTAGTGCGAATCTAGCACAACGCGCCCTAATCATAGATGGATTAGATCCAGAATTCCTTATCAAACCATCAGTCGCGGTGCCAGAGTGGTTAATGGGTTAGACTTGAATTCTTCATTCAGTCATCTAATGGCTTCGGCCTCGCAAGGTACATATACCCAAACCACACATCAGAGCCCCATCTAACAGAGTCGAAAGTTCGAATCTTGTCCGCGACGTTGTATTCAATGCCTGGAGAGAGTGGCATCTTTTTTGCGCGGTTGTGGTTGAGGTTGAGGGTGAAATGGTGGAGTTTTGGGGCCACCCAACCGCCCAACTTTTTGCACCACCACGACACTAAGGACTTGTAATCTTGTAACAATTACCGCTTACTGCGCTTCACAAACACAAACAATAATAATACTTTAAGGTTCGCAACAAACGTCCATCTTCTCAGAAGGTCAATACCCCAGGACTCCTTTTGCACTTTCCAAAAGCACCACCACCTCGCGCTGCTATTTTCTCAGCATACAATCCTTCCTGGCCCGGCTTGCTTACTATCCTCCGCTTTGCTTTTGCTCATTTACTTTTTGATACATTGGTGCATCACGTGATAAGACGTGGCGATGAGATAGCAAGCCACCGGTATACGAAGAATAGGCTTGTTAACGCACCACTGTCGTTTGCTTTGTTCTGCCCTATTGCCTCTTGATGTATGCTTGAACAAGTACTAGCTGTCCATAGAGTTGACTACATAGTTTTCTACACGCGCAACGGCACGAGAGGTGGTAATAATTTTGTGTTGCATTTCCGGGTTTTGCTACATACATACTATTATAACTCAGTGGGTATAGAATGTCCAGGACAATGTACACTTCTAGTAAGAAAATAGCCCTAACAACTTTTTTGAGGATGCGACACAAATTGTTGCCGCCCCTGGTGAAGGCTGCGCCCACCAGGTCCTCGCTTACTCAATGGCGTTCTTTCCCTAGTCCCCGCGCAATTCCACACTTCGCATTGTACCAGCAACGATACGCCAGGCCATCACCTTCAGGATGTAAAAAAAGCCATGGATTTGACTGACGAAGCCGAAAGCATGGTGCAAGATCACACCGATGATGATGACGAAAGTGTCCAGTCAGACTCGTATGACGACATCGGAATCACAAGCGGCAATGGTCTCTCACAGCCTACGAACGCGCGCATTCAAGCCTCGAAGACTTTCCGGTAAGTTGGTCTGTAAAGGGATGCGTAGACAGAACTAACTAGTATGGCCTAGTCTGAGAGGACCCATGATCACGCTCGTGATCGGACCAGCGCATGAGGCCGTGTCGATCCAAGTCCATCAAGATATCCTTACAAGAACTTCTGAATTCTTCGCCCGAGCCCTGAAGCCTGAATGGGCGGCCATGCGGGAGAGGCCGGATCATATTGAGCTACCCGCTTACACAGTAAAAGATGTTGAAACCTACGCACACTGGTTGTACTCTGGAAAAGTGCCAGCCAGGTGCTTCGATCTCTGTCGAACCTTCCATGATCAAGAGGAGAACAATCCAGTTTGGATCGACCTTGCGACCGCATACGTGTTTGGTGAGCAGATACTGGACCGACATTACCAGCAGACTGTTCTCAACACCATGGCTGGTATTCAAAACGATAGTTAGGATGTCGCAGATAAGCCACCGGACCGGAGAATTCTCTGTATATCAGATTTTCCTTCTGAGGAGGCTATACGTGTTCTTTACCGTGGCACACCCGAAAGCTCGCCCATCAGGGCGTTAGCCGCGGACATGTGTGCATATGCTACCCTTCAGGACGAGGATCGAAGGCCAGACTTCAATCGCTTGCCTCGCGAAGCATTGGTGGACGTTTTGGATGCGATACCGAGGATAAATTCGATACAGAAACTTTCGCGCCCATGGGACGAGTACACGGAAGGTTATTGGCCTATGCTGAACGAAGTCTGAGAAATGTATGTTCTGCTACCAGTTTGTATTCGTTCGTGCGCTATCGCAAATCTAATTCACTCTAGCCGACCTCGCAGCAATCCGTGGACTCACAACTTCTCTCGCCACCGCAGATATGTTTGAACATGTTACTAGCATACAAAATTGGTTTACGCCATTCACCGATGACAACACCATCAGCGACTAAAGGGTGGCGACTTTCCTGCTGTACACTATTCAGGCAAGAGAAACTATGTGACACTAACCTCCGTCCCTCTCATAGGACAAGGTCGCGTAGAACCTACGTCAACGTTAGATTGCCTACTTTGTATAGTGTTGCTTCAACGTATCCTGCAGCCCTGTTTAAGTTTTACCTTACAATGGGATCTGCATGTGCTCACAGCATGTGCGCGTCTTTGGTACGAGGTGTCTTCTCTCTAACAATAGGAGGGAGCTCATCGTGCGGCACTGCGGCCTTTTCAAAGTTCGATTCGTCAATGAAGACTTTCCTCACGATACAAACTACACTAGCAGGCTTCCTCGTTTGCATACAAAAGATTGTTGCTTTGTTGAACGTCTGGTGTATGAAGGCGGGCACAACGCAGTTAAGTAACACAGTATATAATTGCAATGCGGGTGTATTTCCTAAACACCTTGTTTCATAGTATGCAGCAGTATATACTCTTCTAAATGTTCTGATATTTTGAACCACGCCATGAAGTTCGGTGCGTCCCACTACAAAAGGTTATACATTAGAGGTTTGACGATGCCTGGAAGATATTCAGCGTACGCTACGATGCGCGATTGTGAATGTCTTTCACTTCAGTTGTATTTCACTCATCACCGCTATCGCAACCACGCTGGACAATGTATCGCAGTGCCCGGTGGCTGTCTCCAATAGGTGCGTGCACTTGCGCCGACCGACTGAGTAGCTGTCGTTCTGCCACTCCCCTAGCCTATATAAACCCCCGATCCCTCGACTCAATACCTCAACACTGCACTTCTTTACACTGCTCCGCTCAACCAAAACTTCCATCAAACTCCATCAAGAGTCACCTGAGCTCCTTCACCAAGCAAACATCAGCAATCAGAAAGATGGGAGGCAAGAATAAGAAGAAGGGCGCCTCCGGCGCCGATGGGGTAGCCAGTTCGAGCAAGAAAAAGAAGGGACGGGGCGGCATGAGCGACAAGCAAGAAGAGAACAAGATCAGAACCTTGGAGGACCTTAACTCTTCCTCAGCTTGGGATCGTGATGATGCCGAAGACGATGCGACACGCGAACCGGATGACGTTGCCGAAACTTCCGAAGAGCCCATCGAATCCACTCCGACTACAGAACAGGCAGAGGATATCACTGAAACTGAGCCAGTTAAGAACGACGAGCCGCAGGACGAGCTCCCACAGCAAGAGCCCGATGTCGCCGACACTGCGATACCTTGGACTACGACGCCGTCAGCGCGAAAGAAGAAGGCAAGCAACGTGTCAGACGCTGGAGATGTCTTTAGTGATACCCTTCCGAATAGCCGAGCCCCTACTGAATCATGGTCGTTTGGTGAGAAAGGCGTCACAGATGTTGCGAAGTCTCAAGATGCTGGGAAGCTCCAAGATACCACGAACTTTCAAGACGATCTAGGCGATAAGCTCAAGCATCTTTCGCTCGAAACACAGACATCACAAGAAGACGTGAAAGCGACAGATGGCGAGGAGAAGCAGGATACGATCGTTGCAGCTGATGACGCTGTGTGCCGGCCAAAGGTCAAGGATGAAGCAGCACCTAGAAATTCTAGCGACGAGTCATCAGCTCCTCTCGAAGCTCATCGGGCGCTGTCACCGCCGCCTCGCAAAGAACCGCTTGGAGAAACCCGTGAGCCTACCGAAGATCAGGGAGACAAAGTACGAGCGTCGACCGGATTGCCTCAAAAGCCGAAGCCCAACGATCGACTTGTACCACCTACTCAGGAAATGGTAAAGCAGCCTGAGACTGCACGACCCCTTGCCGATAAGCCACAACTGCCGAGCAAGTCTCAGTCCTCTACTAAGGTCCAACAAACCCAATCACCACCACCGGCACAGTTGCAGCAGCCCCCCAAGTCCAAGCCACCCACTCAGGTTCAACACACCCAGACACCACCACCGGCACAGCCTCCCAAGTCCGAGGCGCCTATTCAGGCTCAAACACAATTACCGGCACAGTCACAACGGCCTAGCAAGTCTAAGACTTCTGTTCAAGTTCAAGGCACCCAAACAGAACACTGGACACCTCCGCTGCCCCCAGTCACGCCTAAGAACCCTACCCGAGATCAAGGCACCAATACGGAACCATGGACGCCTCCACTGCCTCCAGTAAAGCCCAAAAACGCTACTCGAGACCAGGGCACGCAGACAGAGCCATGGGTTGAGCCACAGCCGCCGGCCAAACCCGAACCTATCACCCGCAACCAAGGCGCCCAGACACAAGTTTCGTGTTCGTCAGCCCCGGAACCAAAGTCTCATGGTAGGGCGAAGTCACCTCTTCGAGGGATCTTGAAAAAGTCTACGGCTTCGCCGTCAGCTTCCACTGGGCCGCAGAACCAAGAAATCGAGATCCCTCATGGCCGGCGAGCACCACGACCTTCCAATTCCGCCACGCCATCAGCTTCCACCGGGACGCAGGATCAGGGAAGCGGCTTTCCCTATGGTCGGCCAGCACCGCCGTCTAACGGTCTCGCACAGTCTAGCCAGAACCGGCGATCGTTGGACCCAGAGCGGAACAACCATGGCACGGCTAGGTCGACTTATGGCTCAGCAAGCGGAACACCACTCGGAAGATCCAACGTGCCTGCAACGCCTCCGGCTCGATGGACTCCAGATCAACGCAGAACACCTCGACCAACCCCAATCCAAGCGGACCCTGATTTAGTTGTAGAGCTGGTTGTAAATCACCAGTATGACAGATCCGCAATGGCTTACCAACACACCCTGGCGAGGAACACGGATTACTTCATTAGACTTGGAAACGTCTACTCAGCTTCTGGAAAAGTATTGGCCCACTTCGTGGGCGAACAATTCTCCAGCCGAGTGGTTAAAGAATACGTGGAGTGGCTAGGTCGTGGTAGGCTTCCTACCATGGCTTCCCTTGGTCGACTCACTCCTTCTACCGCTGACGAGGTTCTCATGTTCTTGGCTCGCGCATACATTTTTGGCGAGCAGATCGACGACAGGGCTTGGATGAACGATGTCATGGATTCGTTTACCTATGTGCATATCCATGATTGGCGCCTCGAGCTGGACGATGTCATCTTATTCACGTATAAGTTTTCGGTTTCTCATTCACGTCTGCGTACGCTTTTGGCGGATATGTTCGCGTACCTTCTCCCTAACCCTGAGCAATTGCTGTCTCAGGATGGCATTCCACTAGTGCAGGAATTGAGGGACCTGCCGTCAGCATTCTATCGCGCTGTACGATGCGAGATGACGCATAGGACAAATTGTACGCCCTCGTGCTGGCGCGCCCGTCTCGACCACCCATCGCATTACTATATTGATGAAGAGGGAGAGGGTGGGCTTTCATGGAGACAAGCGCCTGATTGTGGGCATGGCGAGGCTACATCGATGAGGTGAAATGTCATGTTTTGGAACTTTTCAGGGTAGGACAAGTACCTTGTAGTGTGTTAGAGCAGCTGTAATGGAAGCATGAAACGGAATACCATCTGCTCGTTCTTTCGGTTCCTATATGTGATCCCTTGGTCCCGCGAAGTATGTATCGGGACACAGAAATCTTATTGAATGCTGTCATTGAATGTGCAGTGCATACGAGACATGCATCACATCCTTCCTTGGGTGGAGGGGTTAGAAGAGTTCACTCCGCTTCCGCTCTACAGTGTCCGGGGAGACCACGGACATCAGTCGCCGTACTTTCCCCCAGATGAACAGGTAAGAGGGGATGTGGAGACCCCACGTTTCTGTCTTGTACTGGAACTGGGCTGATGAGTGATCGAAAGACGTAGTGACGTCGTGCGTGATAACGGAAAGATGACAGGTCGGCGGTTAGAATTACTGTCCCTTCAGTAGCGCGGCCCACTTGTCGGCGACTCTTTCCTTCCGATGCTGATCGGGGTTAGTCCAGCACCTAGCTTCCACTAACCTTCGCTTGAAGCAGGAATTCCCGCCGCGACCTCCACTTTCGCCGGCAGCTTTTCCCTTGAGATGGTCAGCTTTGAAAGGACGTTTACCCAACTGGACAACTGCACAGCGCGGAACGACGCGAGCCTAATTTTGGGGAATCCGGGGTAGCACTGGCACGCTCGCGCGCGTTTTCTGGGGTCTCCGAGCACCCCATACGGTCACCGCGGCCTTTGAAGATGCGGAGAAAGGCGTATGACGCCGGCAGCAGGGGTTTTGAAGGTTTGCGGAGCCAATGCCAGTCTCTCAGAAGCAAATTCGGAGACCAATGTCACGCGATGTAATTTCAAGATTAGCATCAAGACGTTCATCATGCAATTGCTACTGATTCTCACGATCCGTAGCAGAGCAGCTCGGTCAGTCTCGGACGCAAGGGTCCCACAGAAACTTCGAGCGAATCTTCCGATCCAAGCGGCGTAGCCTCAACAGCACAAACCCCACATGCGCACACCGCGCTCGCATCTCAAGTCACCCACGAACCTGACAGGCAGAAGGTCGCAAGAGGTAGATGTGAAGCTGAGCTAACGTGAAGTCGCTTCAGAAAACACCGGCCGCGGTCGTTCCTAGTATTTCATCCACACTCCTTGGCGTTCGTTCTGGGAAGTCATCGGATGTGCGCTTAACGGCAGTCAGACGCCTGACACTAGCGTTGGCAGATACTGTACATGGTGTGGACCCACCGGACAAGAGTTAACGCGGCATCAAGCGAGATATCGAAAGTGCATAAAGCGGTCGATTGCCTCCTCGCATTCACTACTCCCTCCTAGCCAGGCCATCCACTACACAGGCGATTTCAACAAGACACGACCCATATCACTGCACGTCATCATGGGTGGACAAGATTCGATCAAGAGCGCCCCTTATGAGCAGCGCGAGGCAATGTCTCCGTTCCCTAGCAAACAGGGAACGGTGACTCGGGAGCCTTATGGACCAGCAGGTATGCATATCACTTTGTGGAACCTCAATCACACGTGGGCTAATCCCAGAGCCAGGTTTCCGCGGCCTCTTCTCCAACCCTTACGTTGCCATGTGTGCAGCCTTTGCTACGATTGGAGGTCTTCTCTTTGGATACGATCAGGGTGTTATTTCCGTAACGCTCGTCATGGATCAATTCCTCGACCGGTTTCCGCGTGTCTCGAGTGAAGCTTCAGGAGCTGGTTTCTGGAAGGGCCTGATGACTGCTATGCTGGAACTGGGCGCACTGATCGGTGCCCTTTTTGCCGGCTGGATTGCAGACAAACTTTCCAGGAAGTATTCCATCGTCGTCGCAGTCGTCATCTTCACGATCGGAAGCATTCTACAAACAGCAGCAATGAACTACGCCATGTTGACTGTCGGACGTTTGATCGGAGGATGGGGAATTGGAGCGTATGTTGAGCCATTTTTGTACACGGGATAGATGCTAACCACGCGTAGTCTTGCAACTATCGCCCCACTCTACATCTCTGAGATTGCGCCACCCGAGATCCGCGGTGCTCTTCTCGTCTTGCAGGAGTTCAGCATCGTCCTCGGCATCGTGATCGCCTTTTGGACAACCTATGGTACACGCTTCATGGCCGGCGAATGGTCATGGCGTCTCCCGTTCCTTATCCAGATGATTCCTGGTCTTATTCTGGGTGCTGGCATTGTTTTCCTGCCTTTCTCTCCAAGATGGCTCGCCAGCAAAGGCCGCGACGACGAAGCCCTAGTCGTGCTGGGCAAGCTCCGCAAGCTTCCCACTGACGATCCACGCATCTTCCAAGAATGGTGCGAAATCCGCGCAGAAGTTACCTTCAACCACGAAGTGAGCGTTGAGAGGCACCCTGAGTTACAGGCCAAAACTCGCACGAACGAGTTCAAGCTTGAGGTTCAGTCTTGGCTCGACTGCTTTAGACATGGATGCTGGAAGCGCACTGTCGTCGGAGTTGGCATCATGTTCTTCCAGCAGTTTGTTGGTATGTTCCTCCTTACCCCGACGTGAGAAAATACTAACACGACTCTAGGTATCAATGCGTTGATCTACTATTCGCCCTCTCTTTTCGAAACACTAGGCCAGGACTACGAGATGCAGCTTCTACTTTCCGGCATCATCAACTGCACGCAGCTCGTTGGTGTCGCAACAAGTCTATGGACCATGGATCGCTTCGGGCGCCGGCCACTACTCCTCACCGGTGCTGCTCTCATGTTTATCTGCCATCTCATCATCGCTGTCTTGGTTGGCAAGTTTGGTGGACGATGGCTGGACTTTGCAGTGGAAGGCTGGGTTGCCGTTGCCTTCCTATTCTTCTACATGTTCAGCTTCGGTGCTACTTGGGGACCCGTCCCGTGGGCTATGCCTTCGGAGATCTTCCCATCTTCCTTGCGAGCAAAGGGCGTTGCACTCTCAACGTGCTCCAACTGGTTCAACAACTTCATCATCGTAAGTCTTCCCTTCGTCTTTACTGTCTGTGACTAGCGACTGACCTGTATACCAGGGGTTGATTACTCCTCCTCTTGTTCAAAACACCGGCTACGGAGCCTACACCTTCTTCGCCGTCTTTTGTGGACTCGCCTTTGTTTTCACATTCTTCGTAGTCCCGGAGACATCTGGCAAGACTTTGGAGGAGATGGACCAGGTTTTCAAGGATGTCAGCAGTGAGGCGGAAGAGCAACAGAAGGCGCGCATCATGTGCGACATCATCGCAGGCAAACAAAACGAGACTGTCACCGCAACCGCAGTCCCTTGAGGCAGCACAAGTGCTCAGCAACGGGGTCAGTAGATTGTGTAATTAGCGAGACAACTGTTCAGTTTATTCTTCTCACGGCTTCGCGCACTATGATTGGTATTTGAATGATACAATCGATCGAATGATCGGGCCTTCGATGCGCAGTCTCATGGTGCACGATAAGCGGGTCGCTCCTGCTCGCCTCCGGTGAAAGACGTGGTGTACATGCAGCGTAAGTGCAACGCAAACTTCTTGGCTCACTACCCCGTATCAAGATGATTTTCCGGTTGCGTATCGTGTTGTAACGATGACCACGCAACATCGCGATGGATGTAAGGATGCGATTCGATTGCACACGGTTTGCTTATTCGAGGACACGAATTTCCGTGCGACGAGATCTGGTAATGGACATCTAGACGTCGTGATCAGCGTTACATATTAGAGGAAATGTAGTGCAAATCAAAGACATGATTTAGCATGTGCATCCCATGCTAGTTGCGAAAGAGATGTTTGTCAGGAGCAATCTTGTATTTGACGCCTGAACCCGTATGCTGCCTAGGTACGCCAAAGCTGAGCTGTTTTCAAAAGCATCGCGTAAAAAAACACCTGGAATGTAAAAGTGCACGTCACCAGATTGACAGGTGTACGTGCGCGTGGCTGTTCAAACATCTCGCCGAGTTGTGCGTCGAGCTCCATACTCCCTGTGACGTAAGAATATTGCCTTCAAGAGGAGTTCCGCGGGAGAGAGCGCATCACCGCTCTGCCCCAGAAAACAAGTACGGCATTGCCATCATCTACTTTCCAACCGTCAACGCCCCGTTTTTCCGTCATCGTGCTCGTGCCATCATTTCACTCCCAGATCCTCGATGGCTGATTATCTCCACGTTCTGCGCCATATTGCGAGGCTTCCCATCGCCAAACTTTTGCAGCTGGGCCGTTAGGGTTTCCCAACTTTCGCCCCGCACCACCCTTCCCAGTACAGCATCATGACCCGACTGGCTCCAAGGCCGCGATAATTCCGTAGAACTGCGTGTTGGTTGTCCCAGCACCGATTCCAATGCAAGGTGTGCATAACACACGGCCTCGTTCGCATCGCCTGGTATGCCTATATCGTCGAATGGCTTTGTGATCACGCTCTCGGGGAGCTCCGCTTCGAGGTAGTCTATGATGTTCGCGTTGCGCGCACTCGGGCCACTGATGAAGAGTTCGTCGACGTCCTGGCCGGCAGGAAAGCGGAGCGCGAGGAGTCTGCGATACTGCTTCAAGATATTCTCGGCCGTTATACGGGTAACAGTAGCAATTGTGTCTGCTTCAGAGAGTTTCATGAAGATGCACTCATCAACAACTCGTTGAGCTTCATGTTCGCCAAACATATCCCGGGCTATACTTAAAGAAGGCAAGACGCGAGAGTAATCGTGCGTCTGGAGGAACCGTGTGACGATAGCTTGATTAGGCTTCCCCGGCGCTGCATACTCCCCGTCGTTGTCATTGTTCTGATCGTTTGAAGTGCAGTACTTCATGGCGTAGTCAATGAATACGCTTCCAGGCCCGCAGTCGCGACAATTTGTCCCTCGAACATCTCCCTTCGACCGGGGAGGAATGAAGCTACAATTCGCAAGCTCGCCGATATTCAGACAAGCTCGAAACTTGGAAGAGTGTCTTAAGAAGAGTTGATCAATGTAGGCGACGGGGGAAGCTTGAGGTCTCAAAGACCCAGCTTCAATGACAGCAAAGTCGAAGACAGTGTTGACACCAATCTCAGTGTTTATATTGGCGTTCCATCCTAGCGGGTGCGTGCTCAGGTCGTTCGTTTCGGGCATGTCAGGTCGCCTCAAGCCCGATGTGTGTGTGCCGACCAGGTTTATGGATGCGAGTGGTATGCAATACTTCTCACAGAAAGTGGTAATGCCATTGGAGAACAAGTAACCGAGCAGCGCGTTGAGGCGTGTCGCTAGTGAGGAGTTGCGCTCAACTTCGCGGATGGAAGTGAGGATATGGTTTCGAACGGGAGGTGAGGTAGGTAGCGAACCGCACTATCGGTCGTCAGCATTTGCAGAGCGGCAGTATGAACAGCACTGACTTGGATGAGTTCTAGATACAGCGTGGCACTAGGGGAGGCTTGCAGATACCGGACCAGCGCGAAGTCAAGCTGGTTTAACCCACTTCCGCAACAGACCCCTAGAATGCGGAGGTCCAATGCACTCTTCATGGTCTCTCTCGTATGCACTTGTAGGCTTCCATGGTCTGTTGCTGAGTCGTTGCGACGCATACTAAGCTTGACTGTTGTTCAGTCAAGAAGTACACATGAGTGCTTCACATCCGGAGGCGAAGATTATAAAATGGCAGAGGCCCGGAGGTACCTAGGCAAGGGGGGACTTGTCCAGTGGCGTCCGACTGAGGCGTCACCCAAGGCATCTCGGGTTATCGCCCCATAAGGGGCTTTGCAGAGAGGAATGCATGCTAAAGGTACGCTGTGGGATGGATGGGTATCCGCGTTGCGCTATGCAAATCTCAACGGACCCGATGAGGACTTGATGTACCAAGACTCCCGTGACCGGGCTCTGGCACCTCGTTACGACTTACGCGAAGGGATTGGCCCGGGACAGATATCCGGCCGTGAAATGACGTAGCTGCTCAACGGTCATCCCTTCAACATATCAAGTCAGCAACCAGGCACGTGCTAATCGACTTCGCACGGGAGAATGCGCTTTGTGTTCTTTACTGCCGGTCTGCTACATACCTAGGGATTGATGGAATGCAGGTATAACGCGTTGCACAAGGCCATATGCATCACAGCAATATCTAGGTGATACTCACGTAGCGCTCCCAGACGTGCAATAAGAGACCGCAGCTGCCAGATATCGGTGCTTTGTTGCGAGGCTTTCGGATGCAAAAAGAGCTTCTCGTCTTGGCTTCAGCCAGCTGCGTTACGGTCAAATTGGTGGTGGCATGTTGGGACGAAATGCGAGCATCTGTTGAATTTCCAAAATCGACAAGACGCGTACTATGGCAAACAGTACGATTTATGATACTACAAGGGGTGGTCTAGCAAGCTTTCAACACAGGTATCGTGATCAAGCGCGTAATCACGGTAACTCAGGCAGCAGCGTACGAAACGGGTAGTTTAGTGATCTAAATGTGCTGCGCCACACACGACTTTCAGCTTGCTTCACTAACAGATTCCACATCCTTCTGGCCACCGGCCACGGGTACATGCGTACAGCTCAGGCAATCTTCGGTGAACCGAGCCGAAAATTGCAGCCCTGGATGTAAAATTATCTGAAAAAGATTCATTCAGGCGAATGATTGCACGTGAAAACAGAGATCAGTACACGAAAAAGTACTATCTCCAAGAGAGGCATTGTTACTGTATAGTAAGATGTAGCGGTGACATTATATGTATTTCACTCGGAGTTGTTACCCGAGCTCCCAATCCTCGGAAGGTATATCTTCCCGGATTGCACAAGTTCGGTTGACTGCTGGAAGATCCCCGGCTGCGAGAACATCCATGTTCTCGCATGAGAATGGGAGTTCTGCGTCGAGTGCTAGAGCTACATAGAGGGGACAAAGTGACGGGATACATGCAGCTGACCATGGCGCCCAGAGCTGGTATGAATTGTACCAGGATAATTCGCGGGCATGACTTAGACACGACGGTTCTGGCTTCCAGACACTGAGCGCTTTGTTTTGCACAATAAATGTCTTGTATGGGTTTCATCATCTTTCACATCCACCTTCTTCTTGTGGTCCTATTCCACAACCGACCCAAGCTGGTTTTGGGTAGGCCGAGGGAAGTCATTGGCAATTGGCTCCATAGGCCAAGAGTCAATGCCGGCTCGAGTTTCTACTTCATGAGCTATGCCACAGGAGCTGAGGGTGTTGGGATACCCCATTCGGCTTTCAATGCGTTACTGATCCACGTCGTCGGCCACACATGGTTTTTCTCGAAGTCGTTTAAAAGCTGTACTACCTGATCTCTCTCTTTTGGGTCGCATACAAGAGGTCCCCAGATAAAGATGGTGTGACAGACGGTGATTGCTAGTGGGACAGTCTCCGGTGAGCTATTACTAGCCCCGGAAATGGCGCGAGCATGCGTCAAAATCTGATTCTACTTCAATAAGCAAATGTTCGTGCTGTTTGGTAACTTTGGTCCTTACATCTGTTTCAGACAGGCTGCCGACGTTGCGGATTGCGAACTTGGGGCCTGGCTTGTATCGAAGCAGCATGATACAGGCAAAATGATAGAACCCGAACGATACAGCTGATGGTATTGTGAGCATTTGCGTGGAAGGACATGTTGGCTAACTTACCGTGCCAGTCGGCTGTGAAGAGAATCTCAGGAAAGCAGCCCCCATCGCCGGCTGGGCCTTCGAAAATTGCATTGAAACCTTCCGGTCTACCATGCATCCATGTCTGGACAAGATCCCACAGCTCGTTCCATCGCCGCATCTTGTAAGCCTTTTCGTTTTGTGGCTCCTTGCCGTCGAAGCAGAAGTTGACGACACATGCAAGATTCCAAGTCATTTGATTGGCCCAGGCCGTCTCTAGCCTTAGTCGAGCCAGCGGGTGCGCATCTCGTAGTGAGCTTGGGGTTGGGTGTAGCTGCAAAGAGAAATCGATATCAGGGGGTTGCTGATTGATAGTGGCATTGTAGAGGCACTGGCGGACATAGACCCAAAAAGCAGCTTCGCGCAACGTGGGCGCTGAGGGATCTACATAGTGATTTCCCTGGGAAGATCGAATAATGGCCGAACAGCCTGCAAGGTGCTGTTCATCATCAGAACCGGTACTGGACGGGACTAGAAGAACGTGTTAGGAATGAGAGGCATAATGCATACTATAGTACGCACCATTTAGCTGCTCGTAGAATCGCAGTATGACGATCGCACACAAAAGCGTCTCGTCGTGGCTAGCAGCTTGCTCATTCAATCGTTCGATGAGCAGGGCGATGCAACGCTGATAGGCCGCCTCAGCTGTCGCATCTTTTCTGCAGTGGCGAGCAGCAAATGACATGACGGCAT